GTTGAATGTTGTGAGCCGTCGTCGGTCACTGGTGGGTTAGTGAATGCCGCGCCAGTGAAAAAAGGAGAATTGGAAATTTCTACAATGGCGGTGGACAAAGTCGTAACTAGGAACCATTAGTTTCAATAACTACTCATATTGGAATTTTTTTAATTATGTATTTCCGCATACGAATGAAGTTCGGTTTGAAGTTCGTATCTTTTGAACAGTGATAGATTCTGCCTCACACGCGTGCAAAACTTTTTAAGTTGTCTATAGTTTTTATATAAGCACGCATCGCCTGAAAGCTTTTAAAGCATCTCTCAGTCAGTCATTACCAAAACCCATCCCGCTGATAGCTTTTCTAAGCTTTCTATATCGGCCTGCCCGTAAGCAAAGCTCATTCAAGCTTTATAAACATTTAGGCAAGCTGATATCCACCACCGTTTTATATGGAAGCGCACAGAGAAGACGAGCCCATCGGGTCCGTTAGAGATCATAGTTAATTGGATCCGCTGTGGTAATTATGTATTAATAAGTCCTCATTAATTCCCCCTTCTCATACAAGAATAGCTTAGGTTCCGGCGTTTCTAAATGGTGACACAATCAGTTTCGAGCACTGCGAATCCGGACCATCGACGCCATAGCCAAATATCCATGGCAGCAAGATAAATCTCTACACTTAGTGGGGCCAGAAGGGAATCCTATATCATTAGCTTCAGAAAAGTGGTCAGACAATCGACGGGGACCTCTACAGGCAACAAGTGATGTGATTGAGGCGAGCAAATGAGAAAAACGGCCGGAATTGGCAACCTGACATGAGTCAATGATCTTCCATAATATTAAGGCTCCGTCGCATGTCCCACAAGTGGTCACAACTTATCTCTATGGTACCGAATGGGAAGCCCTAACCTATCCGTCTTATAGCTTAGACTTTGCACCAACAGACTACCATTTGTTCCGATCGATGCAGAACGCCCTTAGACGCGATTATTACTACGTTTATACGCATGCATAAGTCGCTTTAATTCATTTCGCCGCGATTCAAAACATATGTATAAACTGAATTTCAATTCGCTTTGAAAGAACGAAGTGTTTTGGCTCACACTCCATTTCAAATCGGTAGTTTATTTCTCCAGACAGTTAGAAAGAGTGTATAAACACCGCTCTCAGTCAAAGCGAATTGGAGATCAGCTCTTCTGCTCAAATTCCAAATAATCGCATCAGTATTTAAAAGAAGATTAATAATAATCGTTCTTTTCTTTGTTACGATTTTATAATGCCGA